CGAAAGGGACCAAATGGGTGATTTACCCATTACTGCGTGAAAACATACGGGTCATGCGTGTACAAGACGGGTCGAATAGGGTTCATGGGTGCATTATAAAAGTTAAATTTTTTTAACTTCCTCATTCTTCACCTTTGAAAACCGAGGCCCCCATTCTCAAATTCTCTCCAATGTTCTTCAAACTGAAGAACAAACACCCCTTTTCCAGAAAACGACCACTGCAACCTCCTCGCTGGCTGCCGTTGATCGCCGCCGGTCGCCGGTCATCAGTGGCGAAATTTAAAAAAAAAATCCTTTTTTCAAAAGCTTATCTCCTCTACTTTCCAAAAATCAAGAAATTTTTCGAAACAAACAAGCCCCGGGGGCTAGATCTACGAAATGAGATCTCGAGAACTCCCCCGTTCATCTGCTTTTTTAGTGTTTTTGGGGTTTTTATGAGCCAAATCTCAAGCAAACAAGATCAACGTGCAAAGGCAAAAAAACGTACGAACAAGATAAAAACTACCTTTTTTCGTAGTAAACTCTATGTGATCTCTGTGTGTGCTTCATGTGTTGTTACATGGGATTTATAATAGTAAAATATGCTATTTTTGGAGTCCTAATATGATTACAACACCGATGTTTTGTTACTCGTAATCTTCATGGGTTGTTGGTGTTGCAAATGCTTCGAGATTGTTGGCGTGAAATGTGGAGGAGAAGCGTGCGGCAGTGGGGATTCCTTGTTGAAGGGGAAAACGGCGCTGGAACTAGGCGTGCAGCTAGGGTTTCCATATAGACCCTGGTTTGCAACGGGTCGTGGAGCCGGTTCGGGCATGATTCGTGGGTCCTGGTTACTGCTCGGGGTGCCTATTGGATCACTGGGTCGCACGTGTTGGAGATGGGTCAATGCTGGGTTTGCAAAACGGGCTGCTGGGCCACAATTTTATTTGTTCCTTGGCCTTGTAATGGTCTTTTATTAGACCTGTACCATGAAATGAAAACCCAAATAAATACATATATATATATATATATATATATATATATATATATATATATATATATATTATATATATATAGTTTGTAAATAAAAATATATATTATCAATTGTCGAAATTCGGTGTCTTCACCTGGCTCCTGCACTAACTTTTATTATCTAGTTTCATAGGTTTGATTATCATTATTTGTATGATATATCATTTTCTGAATGTATAATTCTTCAGAATGTACAGTTTTTAGCCAGCTTTGAATTTTTCCTTTTATCTTTTTCATCTTTCCCTTAGCCAACACAAAAGTAGTGTTCTAATTACCTTCGTGCTTGTTAATATTGATGGTCAGATTTCACGTTATCCAAATAACTTAACCATGAAGAACATGTTCTGTTGTTTACGTGCATTAATATTGATGGATTCTTCACATTTGTTGTGTGTTAAACATGTGTTAGTGCCATGGCTTTTAGGAAATCAGTTACTTTCGTTAAGCTATGTTCGTGTGTTTTTTACCATGGCAAAGATAGATGCTTGTGATGTTAGTTATTTGGCTACTTTAGTGGTAGTTAAATCATGCTTTCATGTTGTTGATGGCTAAACTTGTGGACCATGATAAAAAAAATTAAGGTATTTTTTACGAATTCATTTTATTTCTTGCTTGGATAAACTCACATATATTGTGCAGATAATGATAGCATCAGTTAATTTTGTCTTTTCCTTATATAAAAACTCAATAAGATCTTTATAAAGCTCTTCTTCAGATCGAAGTTTACTAATATCCAAAGAGATCATGTTTTCGTCTATGGGACCCCAAGTGACTGGATCAATAGAAAGTTTGATTCTATCAGAACTACTCATTTTCGAATAATATTTTTGTTTACAAATATTCATTTTTGACTCGAGCATTTTCTTATAATTTAATCCATATTCGATTTGTACTTAAGTCGTAAGCAATGTCGATTCTATTCACTAATTGCCCCAACAACATGATCTCTTACCTAAACTTGCAATTCTTTAACATGGAATCTAGGTTTTCCTAAAGAAGTAGTAGGGCTCTTTGTATTTGTGGCAGAGGTTATAAACTTGAGGAGCTCGTTAAAGAAAGCGTCATGTCTCATTTCCTTTACATTTTAGTATGTATGCTCATCAATGATTGAGAGAGATTTCATAATAGTCTCTCATATATTTGTCTTACTTTTTTCAATGACAATAAAATTGGGTGTATGAGACTACAGTTTTTAGCTCCTCTTCAACACTTTTTATATGAATAATAATATCATCAATTAATAAAATATATTTAAACTTAATGAATCTCGATTCATAATATTATCAATTTAACTTTATTTTAAAATAATATTAAATATTAAAATCTTGAAATTAGAAGTAAAAAGTAAATTTCAGAAGTCTAAAGAGTAAAGGAACTGAAGGCATAAATATGTATTTAACAAATATTTTTTTTGAAATCATTCATTACCAGAAGTATAAATAAATAGTAGAATAATAATAATTAACAAGACACCTAATCCTTTTTTTTAACTTTTAACTTTTAAATGTCTGTTCATATTTTGGGAGGGTTTTGGCTTAGACGGGATTTTTTTTTGGAATAGTGTAAATTAGGGTTTTCATTTCCAGAAATGGCTTCAGAGTCTTCAGATTTGGAAGAAGGGAAGATTTCAGGAGGAAATCAACACCTAATTGTTGAACATGACCTCAGAGAACTGGGCAAAAAAGCAGCTTGGAGTTTCAGTTTTTGTAAATCTGGCAATGACGTCTCTTGTCTCCATTATGACAATAAGGAAGTTCTACCGACAGTCTTAATATACGGTTAAGAAAATACGCTATTGATCTTATTATTTTTTTTAATAAAATCGATAAAAAATTATCGAAAATATTATTATTTTTATCCAAGATATTATTGAGCGTTTTAGAAACTATTGGCAGTTAAACACGTTAATATCTTCCCAACTTTGACCCCCAATTATGCTCTCAATTCTCACTTCTTTTCCTTTATTTTTTTGACTGGTATTCAGATCAGACGGCGCTCAGCCTCATTTAGTTAACATTCAATTCCAGAAGAAGGTCAAATTGCAAGTATGTGAGAATTTTGATATTGTTTGAATCACAAATTTTTAAGTTTTGATAATATTTTGATGATGGGTATATGACAATTGGTGGGGTTTTCCTTCCTTCCATTGGGTTTTTGAAGCTAGCTGTGCTTCACGTAGATTTCAAACTTGATGAGAGCAACACACCAAGTAAGATATCTTTTCGAGCAAGTGATGGCTTTCATAATTTGAAGGTATAATCTTTGGTCTTCGTTCTTTTTTCTTTTGGCAAAAGATCATAAGAGGTCCCTTTATTTTTTTTTAAAATATTAATGTGATCATTGTATTATTTTATCTCTCAATATGATCCTTCAACTCATAAAACAAACCCAATGTGTCCCTTTAACCAATGTTTTTCAACATTTGACTGTTACGAGTGCTAATGGGGTGGTCCATGATACTGACATGACAGTCTATCTGTCATGTTTGAATTACTTATTTAGTCTATATGTCATGTTATATGTCAAGTTATTAACTACTATAAATTGTCATGTCAGTACCATGAATTACTATATCAATACTGTAACGGTTCACGACAAAAAAAAATTGGTTAAAAGGTCACGTTGAACTTATTTTATGATTTGGAGAGTCACATTAAGAGGATAAAAATTAATATGGAGGTGACATTGGTTATTTTTAAAAAAAGTACAAGAACCTCCGTGCCTTTTAACCTTTTCTTTCCAATTTAGAACTGCACTCTTACCAGGTTGTTTAATTTCAATACCAGTGTTCTTCTATAGGAGATTAAAACCGTGGAACTTGTCAAGCCTGCTGGTTGGTTTATCTTTCATTGTCCGAAAATGATCCTCGGTGAGTGGCAAAATGATAGTTCTATATTGTTTTCCGCAGTTGGTTAACATAAACAGTTTGATAATGGGGCACCTAAGGGGCAAGGGGAGATTCGATTTGGCTTTTACTGATCAATGAAAATGTATTGCAGTGAAACTTTTGTCAATACCTTTATGCTGCAAATTGCGGTTTTGTCGAATCACCTTAGTGGGAGGGATACACATGTTCGCCAGATCAAAGTTTATGGACCTCGACCGTATGTACCGTAATAAAAAGACATTTTCGTATGCATTGTTTTGTTTTGTTTTTTATAACGTCAATGTTGTAAATTATACCTCATTGGTGTTTAAATGCTGTGTTGCAGGAATCCTATTCCTCACCAACCGTTCAAGTTTACTTCAAGGGTTACATCCAGTGTTAGGAAATAGATGTGGCCTGGCTTGGGGTACAAAAGGTCATGCCATGTGAAACGTGGAATATTGTCTCGTCTTGAAGAGAACTGAACTCATTAGAACTATGAGGAGCTCCTCATCGGTGTAAATTTCTCGATATTGGTAGGCAGAAAATGAGACGATATTGTGAGTATTCACTCCCTTGTGCTCGTGCTGTTCAAATGGTTTAAACGTTGTGATTTTTTTTTCATACGTTGTGATTTCTTGTACGTGGCTATGGTTGTTCATCGAGTTATTAAGCCCTCTTCAATGAAAGTTACCATTTGATATTGGCAAAAAATCACATAGTATACTACGGAATATGATACATTTGGCTTCTCGCATATGTTATGGTGGCTCGTTTATTGATCACTGCTCCAGGCATTGCTTCAGTAGTGCAGCTGATGGTATTACACGCTTTGTATCATTTTTGGTTCGAACAAGCTTTGGCTGGGATGATTAACGAGGAAAGGAAGCACCCAAAAATGTAGAGTTTATGTCACAAATACAACTTGTTATATAGAGGATTTGTTGTTAACTAAGTTTTGGTTTTAAAATGATAAAAAGAACATGAAAATCAAGATTGCATGATCAACGCCATGCAATCATCAATTATGAATCGGCCAGGATGGGCCATAAAAGAAAAGCCTCCATTGGAAGATAAATACTTTGTTACTAATATAAAGGAAGAATTCTAGTGCAGAAAGATACGAATTTTCTACTAACACCCTGCCATTAAGCCAGTTTGGGATAGAACTGCTCGGATTAATTGTGAAGACTAGAAATAATGTAAGGGTAAACTTTGCTAATATTAAAGGAAGAATTCTAGAGCAGAAAGTTGCGAATTTCCTACCAACATGCTGTCGTTCACAGGCCAGTTTGGAATAGAACTTCTCAGCTTGATTGAGATGACTAGAAGGGTCAAATCAATGATGTGGTCCGACCGGGGATGATCATTCACAAGCTGGTTTAGTGTCAAAGCTGCTAAGGCAGATAGCAAAGGCTTGGAAAGCAGATAGAGGGTATTGATAATCCATGGTGAAGATATCTTTTCCAATTTTTCCAAACTGTAAGATTACCTTCTCTTTCTCTTCGAGTGATACATTATCTGATGGATCAACAGCTGCAGAAAGCTGGAAATTCTTAACGGATGCCACCGTCACACGCCCCCTAAAGTTTATGCACCAGCACTGTAATTGTTCATGCCATCTCGGAGCCTTATTTTTTAGGGTTAATGGCTCTCCTGATACCAGGGAGCATACAGGTGTGGCTGGTAGGCTTGGGGAGCTGGTGTCTATTGCCGGCTCATTTCCTCTGGAACTGGTTAGGGGAGAAAGTTGTTCATTGAAAGAATAGGGGAATGCAGACGGTGTCGGGACAGTGCCTCCTTCCTGGATAGCAGAGACAGGAATTGAATGCAAAATGCAATGCATTCTCCTTGGTCCTCGTGCTCGCAGACCATTGAGCTCATAGGTAATGGTACCTATGCTGTAGTTGCATGCAGGTAATCTTGGAGAAACCTGCTTGGAGTGGAATCTAAGGTTTGATAGAGAAGTAGATGGGATTATCGAGTCACACGGTGGTTGACTGTCATGTATAGTGAACTTGGTACCCAAAAAATTAGATCTGAAAAGAAATCTCAACATGTCATCGTTGAAAAGGAGAGAGAATGATCAAAGAAACGTAAGAAATAAAATGGCAAACTCACCTTAGTTTACCAACATATGTGTTGCTAGCCCTAGAAAAATCATCTGCAGCCAATGATAAAACAAAGTCCGTGCATGTTGCCCTTCTGACCTTCCTTGCTGCCAACAACAATTTATCGCTCTCTCCCTCGGCTGTAAATCAAATAAGCAACGAAAGTAACTACCCCTCGAAAGCAAGGAAGCATCATGATAGTTATACGTCCAATGAGGTTTCTAAGTTTCAGATACATTATGTGGCTTAAAGAACGACAATAAAGCAACATAACCACAGAGCTAACCCCCATAATGTCACAAAGTAGGTTCCCAAAGAAATGCAAACTATGTTTCACAACTTTTTGATAAAAAAAGGATAAAGACCAACATGTTGGGTTTTTCAACGAAACCTAAGCAGTCACACTTACTCTTTGACACCCCTAGCTAGCAAAAAATCTTCACAAATCCAGTTATAGTGAAAATAATAATAACTGGAGCAGAACGTTTTCAACAGAGAATGACAAGTTATCATCAATCATTTAGTAACTACAAGGACAGAAAAATCAGAATACTTACAAGGCACCAAACCATAGAACAAAAGATAAGTAGAAGTTGCTCTGTCCCTTCTAATGTAGCATTGAATTGGAGACTCACGGGGACCCGGCTGTTAACAAGCACAAACAGCAGGACTTATAAATGGAAGAATAAGAAAATAGCCTATCCTATTACTTATGGATACACACACAGCAGGTTAGGAAAATTGAGACTTGGCTCTATAAGTTATATGCATGCATTTTGAAAGTAAATCATTTGAAAATCATGTATTCAACTATCAGGAAGTGTTAATTTCATGGTAGAAAAGCCAGTGAGGATATAAAGATTTGGAAACAATAATGTTTCCAACAAAGGTGCATACAAACAAGATCAAACTTTTTGCCTACCATTGATTCAAATCTAGTAAAAAATGTAGATATCCAGTAGTAAATTCTCAAGGGATCAAAAATGAGATATTTGCCAATATGAAAAGACTATAACCTGCTTCAATGATATAGGAAATGTGAGCCTTCCACACTGCTCAGGAGTCTTCACAATCTCCTTCGTAATTTCCCTCCAGGACCTACAAACTGCAGCACAAAACACAACAACAGCTCGAGCAGGCCAAGCTGTCTCGCTCTCTTCAACCCTTTGGATGATATCCAAGAGCAATTCAGGCGGTAGATTTGCCCACGGGCTTTGATCGACAAATTTGGACTCGAATGGTGCTCGGTCTGGAGCAACATGGGATCGAGCACGGCTACGCCAAAGCTTGCTTTCCCCTCCTCTCTTTGATATGTTACCAATCCCATCTTTCATTTCCTTCAGTTCGCGCATAAAACTCTTTAGTGACATCTTTTATAAGTTTTCCAAATCCAATCTCTCAATATTTAACTGCAAATACGTGACATCCATTTATTAAAAAATATACCCCCAAATCTCAGCTCAAGTACAAGGAATATTTAATCAAATCAAACTTTATAAAGCAAAATATCCCAGCTTTAAACAACTAACACACAGAAAAGAACAATGAAAAAAACAAAGAAAACCCATGATCAACAACCATTAAATGATATAAAATATGTATAGAAACGAGTCTCTTTTCACCTGAATCCATCAATCCCTTAAAAGCTAAAACTTTGAGAATTAAATAAACGTGAAAACCCGCTCCAAGTCTACTGGTTCAAATCAACCCAGAACCGAACCAGCTCCGATACACTCTTATGACCCACAGGTCAATCAGCATCACAAACCCAAGAGAAAATCAGATCAAAACGAAAGAAGTTGAAAATGTTAATTTAACAAAGAAAAAAAGTGCCAACTATTCTCTCCATTAACGGGAAATGGGCTACATACTAGCTAACACCGGTGCTGCCGCCTCCACCACCGTCAGTGCCGGTGTTCTATCTTCCCGCCGCCACAATAATCGCCATCACCATCAGTTTGGTCCTCTGATCAGTCACAGCCAAAGCAACCTCTCTCTCTCTCTCTCTCTCTCGTGGTTACGAGACAATAGCTCTTTCACCTAAATCTGATCGAAGTTTTCCATTTTATCTCAACAGCAAATCCTGATCCGACTCTTTGAATTAAATTAATATTTTATTTGTAGATTCTAAATACATTACAAATTTTGAATAAATCATAAGATTAAAACGATAAATTAATCTAAAAAAATATTAATATCTCAAACTATTTGAATGAATAAGTTTATAAGATATATTAAAAATAATTCCGAATATTTAACATAATATTTTATAGGAAAGGATACCCCATCCAAAACTAGGTATATTATCACCACGCAAAACTTGTGTCTCGTTTTTCTGTTTTAATTATTGCTTGATTCTATGATTAATAGATAAATGTTTTGGTAATTGTGAATAATCACCTTATCAAGTTTTTAATTAGCGTCCTTTATAATCTGATTAATTATTTTAGGTTAAACTATACAAATAGTCTTTGAACGTTTAAAGTATTTGCATTTTGGTCATTTAACTTTTAGAACTTGAAATACAGCCACTAAACTTTTAGTTATTGATAGCCAAAACCTTCAAAAGAATCAGAGTAAGATCCACAGAAGAAAAATTATTGATGGCCAAAACCTATTTTTTTAAATCACAGACTTAAAATAATCTTTCTCTCATGTAAGGATCATATTCATCTCATGAAGGTATCACGGATAATATTTTTATTCAACGTTATTGTCAAGAAAGTAAAAGCACAAATTGCACCATGAAAGACACAACTTATATTTATTTGAGGCCATCCTCCTCATCTACAAGTATGATAGTGAGCTCCTTCCACGAAAAAAGTTAACGCAGGCAGCCTCATTCCTAAATCTGATTCTTTCTTCGGCTTCACAACACTCTTCAGGTTATGGGGTTATTTTTGTGTTCATGACCTGCCGGTGGACCTTTGTGCAGTCTTTGGTGCTCTTTCATGGTGTTCTGTAACTGATTCTTTATCATTTGGTGTTGCCCTCATCAGCTTTCATTCGCCTTGTAGGCATACTAGTAAGCACTGTTACCCTGCTCACTTAAACACAATAAGAGGATAATTTGTACATAACGTAGAACGAATAACTTAAGGACAAACGTCAACAAGTTTTACCATATTTTTTAGTTTCACAGTCCATTTTTCTAGTTTCTTCAACCTTTGACTTACCCTTCGCCTTGTTTGCAGGTTCGTCAATCTCCACTGAAGTTGCACTATTCTCCTGGCCTTTTGCAGAAGATATTTCAGAATTATTTCAACAAGTTGATCAATCACTTGAACAAGATTGTCTGAAATCTTTTGTGGCCTTTGGAATACCTATCTGTTCCATCATTTACCTTACTCTCAAAATTTCCTACAGATAGTTAAGACTTAGGATAGGCAGTTGTTAAGTATAATGGGGATTGTGTTTAATGACCATCAAATAATAGTGTCAGAAAATTTATATTTATAAAAACATTTTTTAACTTGATGGAAGCAGATCAATTCCATTTGAAGGATGCTAATCATTTTTAAAGTGGTGTTTATTCTTATAAAGTTGCGTTGATTTTGTTTTTTATAATTAATTATTTTTAGAAAATTTTTGTTAAGATTAACTCCATTCATGGTGTGATAACGACCATAAAAAATATCGGATATTGATTATGTAAATGATATGAACAACGACTACTGATCTCTAAAAGAGATATTAGTATTTTGTTAAAAGGAAGAAGATTTTTATCATATTGCTTGAATATTTTTTTAAATGACAATGATTATAATAAATAAGATATTCCAGGGGCGAGGACAATTTTGCTAATTTAGTTTGTTCAATTTGTAATTATTAGAATTCAAACTCATAATTGTATTTAAATAATCTAGTATCTCATTCTACTAGATTAACAGATTGTTGTTAGGTTCCCATATTAGTTGATGAGCAGATAAAAAGGGTCTCAATCTCAAATTAGATTTTTATTTTTTAAAAATATTGATCGGATAATTGAATCAATTCGTTTGGGAATTAATAAGATCAATGTATAAAAACATTTCATGTGGAACATAAATTTTACAAAAAGAAAAACTAAAATTAAAAGGCGACATTAACCATTTGTAGATGCAAACCCATAAACTGGCTTCCGATAATCATTAAAACATTCGAAAAATGTGTGGTTGGTCTATAGAACCATCCACGGTGGCAGCAAGAACCCAGGGCCAGCCTTGGATGGACGGTGGCGGACCCGTATGGTTCGAGCCATGTGAGGATGACCCACAAGTAGTGGGTGGAATTGAGCAATGGTCCAACACTGCCCGTACCGCCCTTCATTCTCTCTCGCTCTTGTGATACCTTTCTTGTTCGGTTAGTCCTTTTATTATGTTTGAATTTTAATAGTTAATGATTTTAATAATTCCAATGAGTCATGTCATTATAAAAAGATAATAAATAAATTATATTAAATTAAAAATGTGAACAAAATAAAAGAATCAAAAATCATAATTTAACTTTCTTTTATTATTTTGATGGTCACTCAATCTTATTTGTTCAAAATCAGAAGAAACCTTTAAAAATTGGTGAAAGAAAATAAGAGCCAAAATTCAAAATTTTAGCAATCAAGTGGCTTAACTAATTATAATTTTATTTTTATTTAATTAGAATCGACTAATCGATTGAAATAATAATCAATAATCTTGTTGAATAATTAGTGTGATTTTTAAAAATTAAATTTAGTTTGAAAACATTATAGTAGTTTTATTTTGAAATAATATTTTTAAATTTATTTATATATTTAATAAATTCCCACATTTTTAGATCCTTATATAATTGAATCAATTCGTTTGGGAATTAATAAGATCAATGTATAAAAACATTTTAGTAGAATAATATTTTAGATCCTTATTAATTTTAATATTAGTCAAATAAAATCTTTGTTTTATTTAATTTTTAAATTTATTTATATATTTAATAAATTCTTACTCCTCCTAATATTTAATCCTAATTTCGCTTTTACTTGTTGACAAAATCATTAATAGAGTAATGAGAAACTCATCTTTAAACTTTTATTTGATGTCTACCCAAATTTAGTAACTGAGTGCATTGTTCTGATTTAATATTTTTATTTAAACTCTCGTCAATACTAAACAAGCCTTGGTAATTGAATGGATACCCTAATTCTTAAATAAGTTTAGAATAAAATCTCTAAAATGTTGTATATTTTATAAGATTGAGAATTAGGTGGATGAAAGTGACTTCTCGCTCTTGAAATCTCCTCATTTTGTGTGTAAAATTGAGTAGGCCTTTTTCGACAACTTTAGGCATCCATTTCCTCAAGTCGGTCTTCCCATATGCCACTTTGTAAGTGACATTTTCTTAAATAATTTTATGAATTATCTTCATAAAAACCACATCCTAAATAAAAGCTCAAATCGTGTAGACATTTAAAATAAGGTTTAATTAAAAATAAATATCCAAATTGTACTAACCATTTTTTAAAAAAATTAAATTTAAAATAATTATGACTTTTCTTTAGAAAAATTATATTTTTGGTTAATTTGAAACTTAGAGTCGCCATCGACCTTTAGGTTAGATAGATCGAATACATAAAAACGTCTTTTGAAATAATTTTAAGAAAAATCATTTTTAGACAAAATTGATCTTCGTTTTCCAAAGACTCATATTTTAAAAGTTCGAGAGTCGATTACAAGTGGGGAAAGGTAAACACTCCCACAACGACCAAAGTTGATACCTAATCGCTTACACCTTTTTGTGACAACGGAAACCATAAATTCAGGTTAAAATTTATCAAGTTTACTTTTCGTTTGAATGTCGTTGAATCACACCACTTCTAACAAGCTCCAGATCCAGACAAATTTTCATCTTGAATCCAGACCTGCCACGGACCCACGGGTCTAGAAAAATTGGAACCCAAATCAGACGCGGATCTCACAGATCCGGGTCCAAAACAGGTCTAAAACGACGGAAACCATAAATTCAGGTTAAAATTTATCAAGTTTACTTTTCGTTTGAATGTCGTTGAATCACACCACTTCTAACAAGCTCCAGATCCAGACAAATTTTCACATCTTGAATCCAGACCTGCCACGGACCCACGGGTCTAGAAAATTGGAACCCAAATCCAGATCCGACGGATCTCACAGATCCGGGTCCAAAACAGGTCTAAAACGAGTCTCTTAAAAAATGATCGTTTGACCTATTTTTTTAAAGTAATAAAACTGCCATTGACTAATTTCACATCTCATTTCCAATGGAGGAAAGATTAACTTCAATACAACTAGTGGCAGAATAAATAATAATAAACTAAAGTTTAAAAAAATCTTCAACACAATTACACAAAATGTCTTTTGAATAACATAAACAATAAAAATGTAGATAATGAAACATTCTATTGTCTTAAGCTAAGTATCACACTTTTACCTCCTTAGAGTGTTAGTCTTCATCACTACTTAAATCATCAACATCCTAAAACAAACAAACAACCAACCAAAAAGAATTTTGTTTAATGAAAATAATATTTGCTAAATTTAAATATTAATATTAAGGTTATGTAATATTAATATTTATGGAATTTAAATATTAATTCAAAATTAAAGGTGGAATTTTTTATAAACGAGTCCAGACCCGATATCTTAGTGTCAGATCTGGACTCGGATCCGTATTTTAATAAGAGGGTCTAGATCCGGCCCGGATCTATCGTGTCCAAACCTTATAAAACAGATATAGAATTACGGATTTAGATCGGGTCCAGAATCTATTGTCATCCCTAGGTGTACCATTAAAAAAACATTCATATATAGAAAAACAAATAAGATACGAAATATACTACATATATAAAGTAAAAATATATAAAAAAAACTTATTTTTCTTTACGCATAGCTAAGTAAAATATAACATATATTTTATATAATATAATACACACACATGTATAAGGGTAATAATAAAGATCTAAAATATCATGTAATACTATAGAGGCTAAATATAAAAAACAATAAAATTAACTAAACATTTAAATAAAAAAAATAGAAATAACAGGGACTAAGGTTATA